CCCTACGCCTGTCCTGCCACTGTATTTTGGAACAGATAACTTGTTTCTAGTGTCACGAATTCACAACAGGGGAGAATTTGCCCCAGGATGTTTCACCAACCAGAGTCCTCATCCATATCTGTTTTAGATGAGGAGACTTGGTACTTCTAAGCTGATCTTACTTGGATAAGATGTTGGACTTCAGCGAATGTTACATGGTTTGAGACATTTGAGGATTTGGGAAGGGGGTGCATGTATTTTGCATGGGAGATGTGAATCCTCGGGGGCCAGAGCAGGCTGTGGTAGACCAGACAATGTCCCTCCAAAGGAACAGCACATAGTAACCCCTGGAACCTGTGAGGTGTTAACGTACAATAAAAAAGTGATTATATGTTGACGAGTGCTTTCATGACTCACCTGTAATCCCAGTACTTTGGGGCCAAGGCAGGAGTGGATCACAAGTTCAGGGGAGTTGAGACCAGCCTGGCTAATATGGTGAAACCCCATCTCTGCTAAAAATACAAAAATTAGCTGGACATGGTGGCCGAACACCTTAATCCCAGTTACTCGAGGCTGGAGGCAGAGAGAGGCTACTTGAACCCGGGAGGCAGAAAAATTGCAGTGAGCCGAGATCCACACCACTGCACTCCAACCCTGGGCGACAGAGTGAGACTCCGTCTCAAAACAAACAAACAAACAAAAAAGTAATTATATTAAAGCTCTTGAGATGGGAGATTCTCCTGGTTATCTGGATGGGCCGAAATATAATGTGGAGTGTCCTTATCAGATTGAGGCAGGGAGATCTGACACAGACAGAGAAAGAAGGCAGTATAGCTGCCATGGTTTTGAATATCCCCACCAAAACTTGTGCTGAAATGTAATTGCCATTTGTAACAATATTAAGAGGGTGGGGCTGTCAGGAAGTGATTAATGCCATTTGTCATAAAGTGGATTAGTTATCGCAAGACTGGGGTTTTGTTATAAAGGGAGCTTAGTCACATTTTCTCTGTCTGTCTCCTGCACTTGCTTTTGCCTTTCATCCTTTACCATTACTTACACTGGGTAATTTTACAAAGGAAAGAGATTTAATTGACTCACAGTTCCACAAGGCTGAGGGCGTCAGGGAAACAATAATGGCCAAGGTGAAGAAAGCAAAGACTTTCTTCACATGGTGGCAGGAGACAGTGCAAGCAGGAAATGCCAGATGCTTATAAAACCATCAGATCTCCTGAGAACTCACTGCTCCACAAGAACAGCATGGGGAAACCGTTCCCAAGGGGATTTTAATCCAATGGAATTATGATTCAAGATGAGATTTGGGTGGGGACACAGAGCCAAACCATATCCAAACCACAAGCCAAAAATGCTGGCAATCACTGGAGAGCTGGAAGAGGCAAGGAACAGATTCTCTCCTAGAGTACTCTGAAGAGTACAGCCCTGCCTGACAACTTGATTTCAACTCAGTGAAACTGATTTCAGATTTCTGGCCTCCAGACTTGTGAGAGAATAAATTTATGTTGTTTAGTACCACAAAGTTTGTGGTAATTTGTTACACAGCAACCAGAGATTTGGGGTGATTGTAAGGAGTGATGCAAATTATGTTAAAAACCTTTGCAGTTGTAAGATGCATTCTTTCATTCAACAAATAGTTGAGGCAATATAGAAGAGTAATTTAAAGCACAGACTTTGAGGCTGGTCGTGGGGTGGTTCACTCCTGTAATCCCAGTGTTTTGCAGGAAGCAAGGCGGGAGGATTGCTTGGGGCTAGCAGTTCCTTCCAGTTCAGTGGGGGCAACATAGCAAGACCCCATCTCTAAAAAAATTGGCTTCAATTAAAAATAAAGAAATGCACAAATAAGCACAGACTTTGGACTCGAATTCATCTTGAGGATGAATCAGCTTTGTCACCCACTGACCTTGAGCAGACTGCTTAATTCTCTGAGCCTCAGTCTCAACATCTGCACACTGGGGATGATAATAGTATTTAGCTCAAAAAGAACGTTGCTTAGTGTGGGAAGATGTACATAAAGGGCTTTGTGCACAGGCCCAAGGGCCATTTGCCCTGTCCTGCCTAACAGAGATCGCTGTCATTTTGGGAGGATCTTAGAGAGATCAGGGGTGTAGATGGAAAGCCCAGGGAGGGAACAGGGACATGTTTGGGTACTGGGGATGGGGGTAGGGGGCTTCTTGAACAAATTGACTTCCCTAAGCTCCCTGATGAACACAGTGGACCCTAATTACATATTCTTTTTAATGCTATAATTATAAATACTATTAATATCAATGGGTAAAATATATTTCTGGTTCCTTGGTCTTCTAGAAAAAAACATATAGAAATGTTGTTTTTTATTTTTTTAGTTTAAATTTCTTTTTAAAAAAATTTTTGCTAGAGATGGGAGTCTTGCTGTCTTATCTCAGATTGTTCTGGAACTCCTGGCCTCAAGTGATCCTTCCACCTCCTGCCTCAGCCCCTCAAAGTGTTGGGATTATAGGCATGAGCCACTGAGACAAACTCACTGAAATTTTCTTTCTTTCTTTCTCTCCATCTCTCTCTCTCTTTGTTTTTTTTTTTTTTGGACAGAATCCTCGCTCCTGTGGCCCAAGTAGGCAGCAGTGGCCAGATCATGGCAAGAACTTGTCTCGTACTCCTGGGATCAGCGATCCTCAGCCTCCCAGAGCTGGGACTACAGGCACTTCCCCATCTCGCTAATTTTATTTTATTTTTGTAGAGATAAAGAGACAGGGAGTATCGCTCTGTTGCCCAGGCTGGGTGCCACTAGCATGATCGTGGCTCACTGCTGCAACCTCTGCCTCCCGGGTTCAAGCGATCCACCAGCTGTGGCCTCCCAAAGTGCTGGGATACAAGGGTAGGCCATGGCGCCCAGCCCAAATTTCTTACGTTACTACAGAGTTCCTAGGAAAAATCCCATACCTGAAAAAGTTAGAAGCTGACAGGAAGGATTTGAGATGGCGACCTGCTTAAGTATACATAGCAGTAAGGCTGGATAACAAATGCACCGCGAGGAATGAGTGGGAGATAGGAAAAATGGCAAGATAAAAGCAGCCCATCGTACTCTGATTTTGAAAGAATCTAAAGAAAATCAGAGCATGCGTACTCTGAACTTGGAGTAGCCAATCCCAGGGGATGCTTTAGGCGGGAAAATCAGAGTCTCTGCCCTCGCTTTGAGAAGGTTCTGTCCCTGGAGCCTGGACTGAGAGACCACACATCAGCTTGGCTTGTCCCGCCTACTGTTCTGACTTCCACAATTGGCCAGACGGAGTTCACTGACTGCCCTGATTAAATTCCATCATCCTGGGGCAGTGACATCACAGAATATTTTCTCCTCCTCCAGCCACACTTTGTCGCCAACTGCTGCCGACCCGCCACCACGCTTTGTCTCTGGGTAGGTTCTCTTGAAGGGACACCCCAGATGAGCCAATGGGGGCAGATAGAAAAGGAGGGAAGTCTCATTAGGGGCCTCAAATTACTTGGGCTTCCGAAAATCTTGAGGACTGAAAGGCAACTAATGCCTTTCAGGACAGTCATCATGGAGGAGCCTCGCCTCGGCCTCGCGCCTACAGGCTGCCATCCCACCCCTAGAAATATTTTTTCATTTTTGTATTTTAATAGAGACGGGGATTCGTTATGTCGGCCAGGCTGGCCTCGACTGCCTGGGCTCAAGTAATCCTCCCGCCCAGCCTCAGGACTACAGGCACGCACCACCCGCCCTCACTAATATTTTTTTTATTTTTTCATTTTTCAAGTAGAGATAGTTTCGCCATGTTGGCCAGGCTGGCCTCAGCCGCAGGGCTCAAGCAGTCCCCCGCCTCAGCCTCGGGACTGACAGGCAGCAACCTGCTCACTAATATTTTCTATTTTCATTTTTTTAGTACGGACATTCGCTATGTTTGCCAGGCTGGCCTCGACCACCTGGGCTTAAGTAATCCAGCGCTTCTGCCTCAGCCCCAGGACTACAGAAGTATAGAAATTACCACGGCCCAGCTTCCCACGCTTTTTTTTTTTTTTTTTTTTTTTTTTTGTAGAAACGGGGTTTCACTATGTTGGCCAGGCTGGCCTCAACATCCTGGGCTCAAGCGATCCTCCCACCTTGGCCTCAGGTCTACAGGTGTAATGCCCTTCCACCCCTGCTAGATTTTTTTTGGTAGAGTATTTTTATTTTTATATTTATTTATTTATTTACTCTTTTTAGAGACGGGGTTTCATTATGTTGGCCAGGTCGGTATTGACCTCCTGGCCTCAAGCAATCCTGCCACCTCGGCCTGGAACTACAGGCAGGAGCCACCTCGCCCATGCTATTTTCTTGTCGTTATTGTTGTTAGTAGGAATGGGGTTTTGCTGTGTTGGCCAGGCTGACCTCGACCTCCTGGGCTCCAGAGATCCTCTTGCCTCAGCCTCAGGACTACAGGCACACACCACCTCACCCCCACTAATACTTTTTATTATTATTTTTTTTTTTTTTAGTAGAGGGGTTTCACTAGGTTGGCTAGGCTGGTATCGACCTCGTAGGCTCAGCGATCCCTCCCACCTTGGCCAGCCATTACAGAGATGTTACAGGCTTGTGCCACCAACCCCAGCTAATTTTTTGTGCTTTTTTTTTTTTTTTTTTTTTTTTTTTTTTTGTAGAGATGGAGTTTTGCTATGTTGCCCAGGCTGGTCTCAAACCTCGTGGGCTCAAGTGATCTGCACGCCTCGGCCTCCCAAAATGCTGGGATTACAGGCGTGAGCTATGTGCCTGGTCGATTACTGCAACCTGAAATGCCCCACATTCTCTCTAAGGGTTGGTGGGCTCTTCCTTCTTATAATTTACAAATAACCCGGTAATAGCCTCTAAATCCGTTCATATTAGCGAAGGTCGTTTGTCTTCAACAGAGACAGAACCCCATCCCTCTGCCTGATCAAATCCATCACCAAAGAGACTATGTTATCTCTGGGACTCACTTCCTTTCCTTCATTTATTGAGTGGGGTGTGGAACACCCCCACTCAATAAGAATATCTGATTATGTCCCTGCCTCACAACAAGGAGTCTGTACATCTCAGGGTAAGCCTGGCCCCAGGGAAACTACTAACAACATTAACTAACCCCCTCCCAAAGACTCAAGGCTGCTTTGCCATAGAAACCTGTCATCTCCAATCAGTACTTCTCCCAGAGACCCCCTGGCTCCTGTTTCATCTGACTTCTCCCCATGTCCTTACTCAGGGACAGATAAGCCCTGGAGGGAGAAATGCAGCACCTGATTCCAGGTGACTGAATGTGGCCGGCCTTCAGAGATTTCTCCTCCCACAGGACCAAAGGTGCTGTGGCTGGGAAAGTCTCAGGCTGTTCTGCAGAGTCAGACTGCTCCCAGTGCCATGTGAACAGGGACAACGCCTTTACCAAAGAGACCCAGGGATGCATTTAGCTGAAACATCAGAGAGAAGCATGGTGAGGTGACCTGGAGGACATAGCAGTGGTTCAGAGGCATAGGAGTAGAGGTGACTAGATTTCACGAGGAGGGGAGGACGGAGGTACTGGGGACAAGGAGCAGAGGTCCCAGAGAGATCTGGACCCCTGGGAGCATCCCATCTTCGCTCCATCATCACCTACTTACATCCCTGGAGACAGGTCTGTGGCCATGCACTACATTTGGTGAATTTCAGTCCATTCTATGAGTAGGAAGAGACAGCCAGCAGCATTAAAGTCTACTGTGTGGCAGGGAGAAGCTAGGGAAGGTCCCCATGTTCTCTCAGTTAGCCATGGCGTCAACCAGGATGGATTATCATCCCCACTTCCTAGATCCAGCACACACAGGAAGCAGCTCAACTGAATGGCAAGTACTAGCTAGTCACTGCCAGAATTTCTTTATTTTTTCCCCCTAGGCCTTCAATGGTATTACCAAATACTTCTCTAAGAAAGAGTGGGAAAAGATGAAATACTCGGAGAAAATCAACTGTGCATATGAAGAAAGTAACAGAGCCATGACTAAACTAGGTAACCAGAAAATTCCACAAATTACAGACAAGTCTGAGGACACATGAGCATCCTTTTCCTGCTTTGCATAGTTCTTAGGCTGCAGAAAGTACCCCACATTTTCCTTTTGTGCAGGGGAAAATTGCAGGGACAGCTTCTGGGTGTTCTGCTTTTCCTATCCTGTCAGAGGGCTGAGGCAGGGGCTGGCCACAGTGGAGCTTATACCTGGATCCTGCACGTTTCTCTCCCATAGGCATCTTTTCAGTGAGCCCAACTGTCTCTGTGGCATTGCAGCACATCTCCCACCCTACCATCCTTCTCTCGGCTTCTCTCTCTCTCTCTCTCTCTCTCTCTCTCTCTCTCTCTCTCTCTCTCTCTTTTGGGTCAGGGAATCTCACCTGCCTAGGCTAGAGTGTAGCAGTGCAATCATAGCTCAATGTAGCCTCAAACTCCAGGGCTCAAGCAATCCTCCTGCCCAGCCTGTGGAGTAGCTGAGGCTACAGGCACATGCCACCATGCCCAACTAATTTTATTTTATATTTTGTAGATGTGGGGGTCTCTCTATGTTACCCAGGCTTGTCTTGAACTCCTGGCCTCAAGCAAATCACCTCGCCTCAGCTCTCAAAATGCCGGTACGACAGACATGAGCCACCATGCCAGGCCTAAGTTTGTCTCTTAAGAAAGAAATATTTTGCTTCTTTCTGAGTTTCAATGCTCCTATAAGTGACCAGCTGGGCCACAGACTTCCCGGGAATATTATGTGGCCGTAACCGCAGGAATGAGGGCAGTAGATGGGAAGGAGCTGAAAGAGTCTCTCCTGAAGCTTGGCTGCTTTTCAGCTCAGCTATCTGGGGAAGGATCCTCAGGCATTTTGTTCCCTCACATACACATCAGGGGCTGAGTGAAAAAAAAATTGCATACAGAAAGTTAACTACAGAGATCATTCATAAAATTATAAAACATGTAAAACAAGAATATGAATATTTATGGATAATAAGCAAATGGTAAATGCATAAAACATGAATGTGAATAAAAAGCCATCAAATTGAGGAGACTGGCTGTAAATGGAGAAGGAGTGAGGCACAGTTGGTGAGTGCTGCACAGACAGCTTCCGTCATGACTTATTGATAGTGTTTTTATTTGGTTTTGTTTGTTTTGTTTTGTTTTGTTTTTGTTTTGTTTTTTGAACTGGAGATTCGCTCTTGGCTGGACTGCAGTGGCACATTCTCAGCCCACTGCACAACCTGCCTCCTGGGTTGAAGAGATTCTCCTGTCTCAGCCTCCTGAGTAAATGGGATTACAGGTGCAGCCACCATGCCCACTAATTTTTATGTATTTTTAGTAGAGACAGGGGTTTCACCATGTTGGCCAGGCTGGTCTCAAACTCCTGACCTCCGGGTGGTCCACCCTCCTCCAGCCTCCCCAGGGCCTGCTGGGATTTCAGGCATGAGCTATTGCACCAGCCTGTTAATAGTGTTTCTAACATTCTGAATAAATAAATCCAGAACTCTAGTCATGGGGTAATGTTGGAGATCTGACTGAACTCAATATTATTCCCCATATATGCTTTTCTGTGTTTGAAATATTTCTTTTTTTAAAAGGACATGTTGTTCTTGCTAAACACTGTTAATGAATCAAAGCACAGTTAAGAAAATTTTAAGGCCGGCTTTGGTTCACACCTATAATCCCAGCACTTTGGAAGGCCGAGGAGGGCAGATCACCTGAGGTCAGGAGTCCAGGATCAAACCTGACCAACATGGAGAAACCGTTTCTACAAAAAAAAACACAAAATTAGCCGGGCATGGTCGGCACATACCTCTAATCCCAGCGGCTAAGGAGTGAAGCCCAGGAGAATGGCTTGAACCTGGGAGGCGGAGGTTCCCCGGTGAGCTGAGATCATCCCATTTGCACTCCAGCCTAGGCCACAAAGGCAAAACTCCGTCTCCAAAAAAAAAAAAAAAAAAAAAAATTTAAAAGTGAAAAAAAAGAAAATGTTAAAAGTGTAGATTTGCCAAAAACTTCCAGTGATTGTTTCATTAACAGCATGTAGATATTGGATAAATATCATAAGAGAAATGGTGATGAACACATTATGTAATGAAGATTTCTGTTTCTCTGTATTTTATTAAAACCGTGAATAACATAGGGTGAAAAAAAGACAGGTCTTAGGTAGAGATCTTTGTGCATTTCAGGAATATAAAGGGGACGTATGTGTTTATTGGCTCTTCTGCACTGACAATGCAATCATAAGATAAGGTCAGAATGTCCAAACCATCTCCAATAGACCTATTACTCCCCAACTAAACAGGCCAGATTCTACCATCTCCCACAATCACTGTAAGAGATCTGACAATCCAGTGCTTGAGTATCTGCCAAGTTTTTGACATTAAAGGAGTGTCTTTATACTGAAAATATTTCAGAGCCACTGGAATAAATCATCCATGGTTCATCACACATTTAACAGCTTAATAATCATACCATAAGATTCACCCATTTCAAGTGTACAGTGATTTTTAGTTGTTGCACATCTTGAGTGAATACAGTTCAGATTCCCAACTAATCAATTTAATTATTTGGGAAAAAGTAAAGATCACGTAATGACATAAGATGAGGCCTTGATGAGGTTTTAACCCCAATTTGATAAACCATGAGATGGAAAATTCTGAATTGATACCACAGATAAATGCACCAACCATGACTAAACATAATTCAGAAGCAAATCTCAAATAACTCCTCAACAGTGAGTGGACTCATAACCCTCTGCTACAGAATTCCCTCCAGCTGCAACAGAAGTCTCTCTCTGAAGTTTGGAAATCTTTACCAGCAAAGAAAATGCTGATGTATTCTCTTTCAGTTGAACGTCCTCAGATGACTTTCGGCAGGCTCCAGAGAATCATCCCAGAGGTGAGTATCTCTCAAATCCAAGGACCAGAGACCTTTGTCCCTTCACGGATGTGAACACTGGTACAGAGTGGGAGAATATCAAAAATGCCCTCATTGCCTCCTTCTCCCCATGTCTATCCACAATGACACCTGATGATGTAGCATCGACAGCTTAATAATACTGAGTTGTGATTCTTAATACTTTGTTTTCATAGTGATGCCAGATACTATTTTAATAACTTCACATGAAGTAATGCTGTTGAATCCATGAGGAAGACCTCTATGATGTTGTGTCTGTTTATTATCTCCAAATAATAATGAATCACACACTTCGGTGTTTATAAAAGCCATGTGACTTAGGCGCAAATCTTTACAAGTTCTCTGAGCTCCAGATTCCTGGTCCATCAAATGGAAGCGAAGAATCATAGTTCGTGTTATAGATCATAATTATCAGCAAAATAATAAAATGAGGCTATCATGGTACAGAGATGTTAAAGAAGAAGAATTTTCCCTGAGGCACAGTGGCAGGGGGTAGTCTAATCCAGAGCTCCAAGCCATTTAAAGCTCATTCACATTTGCATTTATTTATAGAGTTCAGATGTGCTCACTAGGGATTTACCCCATAGGGCCTGCTGGTGCTTCCGTTGAGACACCCATTCTCACCAACAGGAAGGGACCAGCTGGCCAGCCTCTCCTCTGTTACCGGGAGCCGCTTGCATGGCTTAGGAATTGCTTTGACTGTTGGCCCCTCCTTGAGCTCCTTGAGGGTAGCATGCACCTGGGGCATCCGGGAAGCCCCAGTCCCAGCCAGGGGATCCTCAGGTCCCTGAATGAGTGATTCCACAAGTGCAGAATCAACTCTGGTTTAGAGGGTAAAGGAATGTGGGAGTTGGGTTGCCAGCGTGGAGACTGAATTCAAAGAAGGAAACAGAAAGGTATTAATTGTTGTTATTATTATTACATTTAAACAGTATTTACAAGCTCAGAGAGTACTTTCCCTTAGCCTATTTTACATGTATTGTTCACTATTTCATAAGTGAGGAAGCTGAGTAAAAGGTAGCTTAAGGGCCAGGCCGATGACTCTGTGAAGTGTAATCCCAGCATTTTGGGAGGCTGAGGTGGGCACATCATGAGGTCAAGAGATAGCATCCTGCCCAACATGGTGAAACCTCATCTCTACTAAAAATACAAACTTGGTGGGGCGTGGTAATTGCCTGCCTGTAGTCCCAGCTACTCAGGGAAGCTAAGGCAGGGGAGTCCTTCGGCCCGGGAGGAGATTGCAGTGAGCCGAATCTCGCTACTGCACTCTAGCCTGGTGACAGAGCGAGACTTTGTCTCAAAAAGAAAAAAGAAAAGCAAGAAAAAAAGTAGCTTAAGATTGTTGGTCAGTGACATATCCCAATGTAACCAGAATTGGTATGGGTACCACCTCACTGAATTCCACATTCAATGTTGGTGCCTCTCTAGGGTGCTATGCCATATCTGGTACTGCTTTGTTTGCTGCCTAGATTAATTTCAGCAAACCATTTCTTTCCCTCTCCCTTCCTTGTATTCATCTCCATGCAGTATCTTTCCCAGCAGTGTTTTGTCCCCTCGCTACGTATTTACATTTAGACTCCCAGCAACTGACTACAAGCCTTTATGGGATCCCTTGTATTTTATAGAAGCTCTTCCATTTGTAGACCTTTTGAATTCTTAGGAATGCTATTTTTTTCTCCAAATCTTCTGTATACCACACTCTCAATTTACATGGAGATTTCTGCTGTTTGCACGAATGTCAGTCTTAAAAGAGTGTGAAGATAAGCATTCTAGCCCTGGAAGCCCCATTCATTTAGGCCTTTCCTTTCCCTTCTAACCTCCCGAGTTTCTCATATTAGGTAAGTGTAACTCTCCCAGCGTTGCTGAGAATATTGATTAAGGTAATGCATGTGAAGCCCTTTGAAAAACAAAACTATGAAATTTCACTGATACTGTTTATCTGTGACCTTCACATTGTAAAGAATCCTTACTCAAAAAGCCAGAGGAAGAAATGATTCAAAGGTACAGAAGCATCTGGCCCCACAAAATGATGAGAAACAGCTGTGCCTTGCCCAGGAAAAGCAAATACCTCTGCGAGAAGATTAACAAGAGATCTGGTAAGAGGAAACAAATCAGGAGTAATCACTGTAGCTTCCCTGGCTATGTTCAGGTGTGTGGACTGGGTGCGTGGCATGGATCCCAGACAAGCTGGTCCAGGCTAGGCTGAGAGCTCACCCAGCTCCAGATGAGATATTAGAGATGATGACTTTCAGAGACACAGACTGAAGTTGTAAAAACCCACGTGTCTTGGGGCAGAGTCTTGGAAATTTTCTCAGTTCCAGATTCCTGAGTCCATAAGATTAGAAATAAGAATCATAGTTCATAAATTGTTTGGAGAGGCGTTAAATTAAATCTAGAGCCTGATGACGTGAAGGTGCTCAAGCAATTCTATCTGTGATAATCTGGAATCATATCTTAGTCAGCTCAAGCATATGATACTCTTTTATGTGTACTTCAGAGATATTGCAGGTTCTGTTCCAGACCACTGCAATAAAGTGGAGTCACACACATTTGTTTTTTGTTTGTTTGGCAGTGCATAAAAGTTTATTTTACACTATAGTGTAGTCTACTAGAGGTACCCAATAGCGTTATGTGTAAAAATGTACACCTTAATTTTAAAATAATTCGTTATTAAAAATGCAAACAATCTTAAGGCCTTTAAGTGAGTCACACTCTTTTTGCTGGTGGAGGGTCACTCAGTGTTGATGGCTGCTGGCTGATCAAGGTGGTGGTTGCTGAAGGTTGGAGTGGCTGTGGCAGTTTCTTAAAAGAAGGCGATAGTAGAGGTGCCACATGAATTGTCTCTCTTTCAGGTACATCTCTGTAGCCAATGTGGTGATGCTGTTGGATAGCATTTTACTCACAGTAGAACTTCTTTCAAGTTAGAGTCAATTCTCTCTAGCTATTAAAGTTTTAGATGGCATCACCTTCCAATAGAAGGCTAGTTTATCCTCTTGAAATCTGTTTTTAGTGTAGCCTTCAGCAGTGATCTTGGCTGGTCTTCTGCACCAGGTTGCTTCAGCTTCTCCATCAGGGTTTGCTGCTTCACCTTGCACTTTTATGTTACAGAGATGGCTTCTTTCCTTAAATCTCACGAACCAACCTCTGCTAGCATCCGACATTTCTTCTGCAACTTTGTCACCCTCTCAGCTTTCATGGACTTGAAGAGAGTTCGGGTCTTGCTCTGAATTAGACTTTGGTTTAAGGGAATGTATGGCTGGTTTCTCTTCTATCCTGACCACTCAACTTTTCTCTATTTTCAGCAGCTTGGCTGTTTGGTTCAAAGGCCTAGCTTTCCAGCCTATCTTGGCTTTCCAGCTGCCTTCCTCAATAACCTTGGCCATTTTCTAGCTTCTGATTTAATGTAGAGACATGTGACCCTCTTCCTTTCATTTGAACACATAGCCACCATTGTAGGGTTCTTCATCATCCTAATTTCAGTGTTGCTGTGTCTCAGGAAAATAGGGGCCCAAGGGAGGAGAGGGAACAGCTCATCAGTGGAGCAGTCAGAACACACACAACATTGATCAATTACGTTTCCTCTCATCTTCTGTAAGAGGCAGTTCCACCAGTACACCCCGACATTTACACTACAACAGCGTGACTGTAATCAATATTAAGTTAATCACACATTTAAAAATAACTAAGAGTGTAAATGGATTGTTTGTAACACGCGGATAAATGGTTGAGGCATGGAGACCCTATTTCCATGATGTGATTATTACGCATGGCATGCCTGTGTCAAAGCATCTTACCCCATAGATAGCCATCTACTGTGTACCCACAAAAATAAAAAAAAAAATACTTTAAAAGACCAAAAAACAACAAAAACATTTGCAATAATAATATCAAAGCTCACTGATGCAGATCACAACAACAGACATAATAATAGTTGAAAAGTGTAAAATTGGTGAGGATTCCCCCCCAAAAATTGCAATATCCTGACACTATAAAAATGAGATGCAATAAAACCAAAGGTATGCCTGTGTGCCCTTAGCAAATACGTGCAGGAATGAAGGAGGTATGGTTGAATGTTCCTGTAAAGCGGAGGTTGGGAATCTAAACCTCACAACGGAAGAGAACCAGAAGCTAAAACTTTAATTGGCATTTTGGCCTGTATTGGTGTGGGTCTAAGGTCTCAGCCTCTCTAAGCCAGAGAATGTGAAAAACTGGAAAAAGAAGACCCATGGGCACTTGGGAGAGGGGAGGCATCTCTTCCATTTTGGAAAACGAAAACTAACACTCTCCAGCCTACCCAACCCTCATCTTCCAACTCTTCTCTATCACTTAGGACCCAAAGGGGAAAACATGCCTGGACCCACAGACTGCGTGAGAGAAAGCAGCTGGTGATTTATGAAGAGATCAGCGACCTGAGGAGATGGCAAAGACATCCGTAAGTGAACTTTCAGCTCATCCCCACATCCCCTGCAGATGTGCTGTTCTGTTACAGTACGGTATCCCATCTTTGTCACTTGTTCCCCAAATCCTTCCCTTCTCATAATTTTCTAGGGTACAGCATTGAGGTTGAATGATGAGATTTCCCATGCTCTTTCTACTCCCTGCCCTGTATATCAGGAGTTCCTCCCTACCAGGATGCTGTGGGTTCCCAAACCCAGGTCCGTCCTGATACGTGGGCCACACCTTCCTCTAGCCCTAGAATGGATTAGGCAAAAGTTACTGTGGCATGTGTGCAGATGGTTCACTTAGGAACCGTGGAAAGCGTGTGCAGGTCCTGATGTAGGGCAGAATCCGGAGTGTACAGGTCTGCACGTCAAGGAGGAGATGAGTTGAGTTATCAGGCAGTGGCAACTCCACCACCGCCTTGCCTCCCTTCTCTCTTCTTGCCTCAGCCCTCAGAGATATGACACATGCCCATGATGAGAAGCAGAATTTGGTGACCTTTCAAGAACATGGGCATGGCTGCAACTTCCCTCGTCATCAGG